CACGGGGCGGTCCTGGCACCCCAGGCTCCGTGGCCCTCACTCCAGCTTGGTTTCAGTGCTCCTCACCAGTGAGTGTGGCTAGAGCTGCCCTCGTGGACCACGCTGGGCACTAGCCACCGCAGGTATCCAGGACAGGCCGGCAGGTTCACAGTCCATGGGAGAGTCTGCCAGAAGCCGCCTTCCTCGTGAGAACCTTGAGAACCTCGGTCTGCCCTGTTCAGTGTCTGTTCCCGGAGCGGCCCCGAGGGACCAGGGGAGACATGAGTCATTTCCTGGACAGCAACCTGTCCCAGCTTCTTAGCCATTTTGGGCTTGGCCTTTCGTAAATTTATCTTTTTCAAGTCCATTTCTGTTTCCTGCCAGTTCTGTCTCCTCGTCAGGTTTGTGAAGCACCCGCAGTGTGAAACAGCACGTGAGCATGCTGAATAGGCTTGTCCCCGAAGCAGCCTGCAAATGAAAGGAAGGGAGGTCGGCAGAGAGACTGAGAGCCTGGTAGCAAGTGAACGGTGGCCTTCTCTCTGCTTAGGTGGATTTCCCTCTTCTGCATGGCTCCTGGGAAAACAGCTCTGTGCTCGGACGCCCTGGGCCATGGGTTGGCTTAAAGATGCAGAGGGAGCATGGCCAGGGATGGCTCGGCAAACATCCTAGCATGGCTCAGCCTTTGGTCCAGTCGCGTCAGGGTAGAGGGACCCCTCTTTCATCACTTACTTTTTCCATGCCTCAAGTTTTTCTTCCTTATTTTCATATAAAATGAAGCATTTTTTTCTTGTGATAAAATATACGTAACGTAAAATTTACCTTTTTAACCATTTTTAAGAGTACAGATCAGTGGCATTAAGTACATTCACATTATTGTGTAACTGTCACCACCATCCACCTCCAGAACTTCATCTTTGCAGACGGAAACTCTTCCCTTTAAGCGACAGCTCCCCACTGCCTTTCCCCAGCCCCCGGCCCCCGTCATTCTCCTTTCTGTCTCTGTGATTTGGACTGGTCTAGGTACCTCATGTGAGTGGAATCATACAGTATTTGTCTTCTTGTGACTGGCTTAATTCACTTAGCATGATGTCCTCAAGGCTCAGCCATCCAAGTTACAGCGTGTGTCAGAATTTCCTTCCTTTTTAAGGCTGAATGATATTCCATTGTATGTATATACTCCATATGGCTTATCCATCCGTCTCTTCACGGCCGCTTGGACTGCTTGCACCTCTTGGCCGTTGTGAACAGTGTTCTCTGGACGTGGTGTACAGATACGAAGTGATTCTTATAAGACACAGGTCACCATGACCGTCCACGGCTGCACCATTTTACAAAACGAAGCGTTTTTATTGGATAATCTTTAAGGCGTGTTTGTGCTTTAAAGGAAGTCGCGGTTCCCTGGCTCTGTGGTCAGGGGTTGGAAGACAATCTTTGGAGGTGAGATTTGACACCTGAGCATCGCATAACAAGGGTGGTTATAGCCGCCGCCTAACACATACATACAGGCAAAGGGCAAAGCGCCCACAGGTGGCCCACGTGCGGGGAGGACCGTGGAAGCACCCGGCATTATTTGAGGACCTGCCGTGTGCTGGGAGCTGCTGGCCTCATTGTGTGTGTCCATTTATCACCTCTGATGCCCTCGGCAATCTTGCAGAGTGGGTATTTATTGTTCTTCTTGTTTCTGCGAGTGCAAAATTAGCAGAGCTTTCTCTTGCTGGTGGTTTGAAGTGGTATTTCTTGGTGTTATCACACTTCAAATTTGCTGTTTACCTAAAAGAAATTTTCTAATTCTCTCTTCCTGGGTCTTAACCTACCTCCCCCAAAGTAAAAGAAAGAGAGAGAGAGAGAATGAGACAGAGAGAGAGAGAAAGAGTGTTTTCCCACAGCGTTTGAGGAAGTGTTTGGAGGAGTGCTGTGCGGAGGCCACCCCCTCGCTGTGGTCCCCTTGCCTTGAGACAATAAAGGGACATCAGTTGCTGTGCTCAGGGAGCCGCCGCCCCGACTGGCACTCTCATGGTTGCTGTGCTCAGGGAGCCGCCACCCCGCGTGGCACTCTCATCGTGCAGAGCGACTGTCACTGCTCCGTGAAAGAGCACCTGAGCTCTCCATTCAGAGTGCTTTGTCTTCTGGCTCTTCTGCAGAGGAAGCTTTCTGAACTGTCCCCTCCCCAGCTGGTCCCGGTGCCTGAGTCCTGACTCCCTGTCATGGCATTCAAGGCCCTTGCCTCATGACTCCAGACCATGCCTCTCTCTCTCTTGCTCTCTCTCTCTCTATGCCATTATTGCACTCAGTGTTCCTGGCGTTCTAGTCACCTGAGCGCCCTCCGGTTCCTGAGTGCTCCTCCCCTGCTCCAACGGCGAGGCTCTCCTGCCCGAGTGTCTCCCATGCCTGCTTCCTCCCTCAGCTCATCTCTGTTATTGAAATCTCAGCCCTTGGTCAGGACTCCTCCCTGTGAGTCCCCCCCATCCTCCTCTTGCACCTGCCCGGCCTCCCCACACCCGTCCTAGCAGCCCCCCAGGCCCCCACTCCCCATTTTAAGCATCCTGCTTCTCCTGGAACTCTGTGAAGACTTCGTGTCTCCTGTGAGGCTGTGGGCTCCAGGTAGCTTGTCTGCTTTGGTCTCTCCACCCCAGGCGCTGCCTTGTGGGGCGGGCCATCAGTTTGCTTAATGGATCGTTAGTGGTTAGAAAAGAGCCAGGCTGGGTCAAGAGGCTTTTTACTTTTTCCTGAAGGTTTAAATTTTTCCTTGCCCGTGTGAGAAGAGAGACTACAAGGAGAAAGCCAGTGTATGGATTTTTAAACAGAAAACATCGCTAAGTGACTGCTTCCCTGGCTGGGCTCCCGTTGGGTAAAGCGGCAATGGTCGCCTTGCCCCGGCAGGGAGTCCTCAAAGGGAGGGAGGGCAGGGGGGACGGGCGGTCCAGGGAGGGGCTGGAGTCCTAGTCCAGTGGTTCTTGGCCCCTTCACCTCCCTCTCCGAGGTCAACGTCCACACCTGAAAGTCTGGAAGAAACTTTTCCATCAATTCAAATGAGAGGGAAGAGGGGGCTTTCCGCCAGTTTCTGTCTGGTGGTTCTAGAAAGGCTCCACTTCAGTTCTCAGCATGTCAGAGTTGGGATCTGAGACTCTAACCCCCCCAGGCTAACTCCCACAGCTCAGTGCCCCCCTAAAGAGCAGCTCTCCGTAACGGGGGCAGGGTGGGTGGTGGGAGTGGGCACCCAGGTCCCTCTGAGACAAGCAGGGTCTCGGCCAGCGGGACAGGGGGACGGGGAGGTTGGCTCCTGATACTTGGGGTGGCCAGGTCTTCGCCTCCAAAGATACTGATTTGTTTTTTGTTTTTTGTTTTTTAAAAAACAACAAGGTGCTCGGCCCACCCGGTAGAGCTGCCACTGCTGCTGTGGCCGCCGCTGGCGTCCCCCCTCACTCCAAAGAGCACGGCCCAGGCGGGTAGCTCGCCCTTGGCCGGGTCACCATTCTTCAGCCCTAGAGCCACAGGCCCGCCCGGTCACTGAGGTTGTTGACTTGTCTTACCTTCCAGACCTCCCTGGGTTGGGGATAGGAAACCCTCTTTGGGAGGGTGGGGGAGCAGGGCAGGGCTCGGGGTGGGTGAGGTGCGCCCCAGCCTCCTGCCCTGCGTCCCGGCTCCCTGCCCTCCTCCTCCCCTCTGGTCGTGAGTGCTGAGCCTCAGCCTAGCTCAGAGGAGGGTCGCCTGCTTGGCAGCCACTCTGTGGGCAGCTCCCACTCAGAGCCTCAGCCCTGCCCTCCTGATGGGGACCCTCCGGCCACCTGGAGCCCCAAGCTGACATTTATTGGGGCTGTGGGGCCTCCACCCTCCTGCCTCCCATTCCTTCTGCTTCTTTTCCAGCCACATTCTCTGTTTCTCTCTCTGTCTCTGTCTCTCTCTCTGTCCCCTGGGAGGCCCGTGATGCCAGGGTCGTCTCTTCTAGCCTGAGACCAGCGTGATTTCAGTAAGACTGGGGAAAAGCTGCCCCGAGTGCCTTGCAGGGCGGGGCAGGGCGATTCAGGAGGGTGGGACAGGTGTTCTGGTGGCTCTTCCTGTTTGTCAGAGTTTTGAACCTGCTGTCACATCCCTGTCCAAGGTCAGCATTCTGTCCCCAAAAAAGGCTTGGGGGTAGATAGGAGATGCTCCCACTTTCTCAGTGAGGGAGCGCAGAAGAGAGAACCTGGCTTGAATCGGTGTCTGGAAGACGTTAGAGTCTCAGGTGTCAATCCACGGTGGGGGAGGGGCAGAAAAGCTCTTCCTGCATGTGCCCCCCAGCCCGGGGGACACCTGGAGACTTGTGGGGTGGGGAACACTCATCTCTTCCCCTGCCCCATTTCCACTCGGGCCTCCCTCCAGTTTCTGCTCCAGGGGACCTAGGACACAGCCAAGGCCCCAGCCGTGGGGTGCCTCTGATGGGGGAGACCCTGTTCCCGGGGAGGAGGTATGCGACTGAAGGAGGCGGGTGGGGATCAGTGCCAGGCTGTGCCTGAGGCTCCCACTGAGGACAGCCCTTGGGGGGGATGGCCGTGGGCAGGGTGCAATCCTTGCCGATCTCTGCCGGCTCCGGCTAGAGCCTGGTAAGCTGGGCATTTTATCCTTTACTGCAGAGTTTCTGTTCGTTTCATGACGGGTTACAAGAGAGCTGGTCATTGCTGGAAAGGGGGCTGGGAAGGGGGCTCAGGGAACAGTGCTGTCATGAGTCTGCCCCTGTAGGCCGGGCTGGGGTCTGCAGGGACGTCCCCTCCATACCTGCCCTGCTGGGCCCACTGGTTGTTTGGGAAACTTGACTTAGTGGCTGCTGCTATGGGGACAGTGTCCACCCGTGATTCTGCATTTGCCCGGCTTCCTCTGTGACTTCCAGCCTGGCTTTTCTGGGCTTCCCTGAACTGGATGGAGTAGGGGTCCCCGGGCCTTGGGGAGGGTGCAGCCTCAGCAAGAGGAAGGGAATGGGTTACAACTGGCCTCCCGCTGGGCCCGCAGCCTCCCTTCTGGAGGGCTTTTAAGAACTGGCCGATTACCTTGTAATTGTTCCCAGCAGTGAGGAGCGAGTCCACCGAGGAGCGGCTCCAGTGTTTGTTTTGCCTTCTGTGTTCTCCGGGCCAGTGGTAACCAAGGGCCGCTTCCCCTTGGTGACGGCGGAGCTCACTCAGGCCAGGGCTGATCCAGCCCCGGCGAAGGAGGCCTGGGGGACCCGGCAGGGCCCGGCCACCGGCAGGCAGGGCGCCCTGCTCCCGGGGCGCAGGGTGCTGCCTTCACTCCTCCTCAGCCCTCCCCTCGGGCTGAGGCCCCCGGGGCTCTCTCCTGGCGCTTTCCCCAGGCGCTGGACGGAAACATTCCAGAACTCCGGAGCCTCCGGTAGGTGTCTGGGAGACCGAGAGGCCACTCGCTGCCGGCCCTGGGGGGTGGGTCTCTGGCAGGGTTCTGGACCTCAGCCAGGATGCTGCTTGGGTCTGTGAGTGACCGTCACTCTAGGTTCTGGCAGGACTCAGGGTCCTGAGGTAATTCTGGGGGAGCTTCTGCTGGGAGATGTGCTGTGAGCAGCTTCAGGCGTGGAGGCCGACTAGGAGGCTCCATGGCTGAGAGGGCTGGTCAGGTCTTGGATGGACAGGATTCCAGTCAGGGGGGCTGGTTTGAAGTGAAGGGAAATGTGTTATAACAGGTGTGGCCGGGAGAAAGCACGAGGCTCCTGGACGGTGGCAAGGCTGGCTTGGCTAGTTGGGGACCCAGGGTGTTTGGAGCAGCAGAGAGCTGAGCAGGCTTGTGAGGAGCTCGGAGGGTGGGCGGGGGGGACCTGACGAACTGTGAGCAGAGGAGGGGCCTGGAAGTGGTGCTGCCGTAACCTTGGTCTTCCCAGACCCCTAGTGACCAGGGGCCTCTAGAAGGACTGGGCCAGGGAATCCACAGCCCGTTTTCATGTGCCCCTACTCTTGTGGGTCTGGCAGAAGGACGGGTCCCTCTGCCCAGCACTTCTGTGAAACGTGGCTTTGAGGTTCGGTTTGTTAGGAGTCAGGTGTGTTTCAGGACTGGCTTCCTGGAGAGGGATGGACCCTCCTCTGTTTTCTTTCTTTCTGGTGTGTTCCCTCCAGGCCTCTGCCTTGGGGAGGACCCACAGCACAGCCCCCACACATGGGCACGCGGATCACCTGAGACCCGGTTATAGGGCAGTTTGGAGGCAGTCAGCTGGGGAGGGACCTGGGACTCTGCATTTCCTACAAGCTCCCAGGCGAGGCCCATGCAGGAGCCCGTGGGCTGCCCTGGGCATGACCAGCTGCAGGGCTCGCAGGGTGACTGGCCCCCTCGTCCCTGAAGGGGCTGTTTCTCCAGGGTGGAGATGGGCTGCTCGCAGGCAGGATGTCAGTCGTGTCTGGTTTTCTGTTTGGGGACCAGGGGAGGCGGTGCTGTCAATCAAGAGAGGTGGGATAGCTGGTGGGGCGGGGGGGGCGGCTGGGGCATGGCGTGCGGGGACCAGCTGAGCTCCGCTGTCCGACTTTCACACGGATTCCTTCCACCGGCCCAGCTGCCGATACTATTAGACCTCAGTGATTCATTGTAGCGCGTTTCAAGGGAAGGCGTTGTGTTACAAAAACGTGGGTCCCAGAGGCTTGTTTTGTTGGCAGGTCTTGCTGCCTCAGCAGAAAAGAGGCGCTTTTGATATGGGAACGGAAACTTGGGACAGCGTTAGAAATGCTCAGTGCGTTCCGCGGGAGAGGACCTGTAGTCGTCCTCCAGCCGTGGGGACGCGCTGCCGACCGTGAGGGCAGCCCCAGGCCTGGCTGCAGCACATCGGGGCTAGGCGGGGGTCCCCACACCTGGGTCTGTGGTCTGAGCCGCCCGCGGCTGTGACGAGGCAGGCCGTCCTTGACACTGAGGAGTGTGGGACCCGTCCTCGGCTCCCCGTTCCACCTGTGAAGGTAGCATGCTGCTGTTTTTTATTTTACGGAAAGTCCAGCCTGCAGAGGAGTCAGAATTCAAAGAGTCCTTTCTAAACGCAGTCTGTCTGATGTCGCAGAGCAGCCCTGCGAGGCGAGCACGTGAACTGTGCATTTGTCACCCTCACATGTAGCCAGGACTAGGGGACCTGCCTGGTCTAGCGCGGGTGGCCGATCCTGGGTTTGCTTACGTTTCCAAAGTCGGGCTGACAAGTTTGCTGAACAAGCACGTGCCTTCATGCTTGCTTCCTTCTCCCTCTGCTCTGATTGCCATCCTGGACTAGCCCATTCAATGGATATTGGGCCAATTTCCCTTTTTTCCACTTCCCCTTTCTCCCTTTTGTGTCTCAAAACGTGATAAATGGAACAGACTCACCCCAGATCCAAGCTGCTTTCCCGAGAAGCTTCTCTGGATGTGTGTATCCCGCTGCCTGGCCTCGGAGAGCACAGAGGCATGGCGGACCATCCCTCCCCCACAGGACGCACGGCTGCCGCCCCTTCCCGGAGCAGGCACAGCGTGGGAACGTGGGGGGCATCAAGGAGAGTTTGCCAGAGGGAGGCAAAACCACTGCCGGCCTTCGGTGCACCTGATGGCTTCCCGTGGAGGCCGCTGTCGCCATCAGTGAGCTGGAAATGGCGAGAGGCAGCCACAGAGCTGAGTCACGGACACCCGGAGGCGGTTGTTCTTTGGGCAGATTGCTGAGTTTGGGCTGGGGAATGGGCTTCAGGGTTTGCACAGCTGCATTCCACCACTGGGGAGCCGCCAGGGACCCCCTTCTCAGGAAACCCTCTCCCTTCCTGCCTGCCTTCTCAGACATCAGTTACAAATTCACCCCCAGTGTTGGCTCTTTATTAAGTGCTAAGCTTTCCATGGCCTCCTCATTTAGCCCTTAAAGCACACCAGTGAGGTCGAATAGTCATCACCCTTATTTCAATGGATGAGGAACCTGAGGCTCAGAGAGGTGAGAGAGCTTGCGCAAGATCTCCCAGCTTGTGGAGCTGAAGTTTCAGCCCAGGCGACCCAGCTCTGGGCCTGCACGAACTCTCACCCTGTCTCCTTCCACAGCCTCTCCCTCCCTCTGTTTCAGCCACATGGCCTCTCTCCGGTTCTTCCAACATGCCAAGTGTGCTCCCACCCCAGGGCCTTTGCACGTCCTGTTCCCTCTGCCTGGAATGTTCTTCCCTTTAAATCTTCACATGCTTTTCTCCCTCCTTTCATCCAGGACTCTGTCCATATATTACTGTATCAGAGAAGCCGTCCCTTACCTCCTCCCATTGCTTGCTCTGTCTGCACTACTCTGCTTCATTTTCCTTTGACACTTGTTAGCTGACCCTATATTAGATATTCATTCAACACTTGTTTATTGAGCACCTACTGTGTTTCCAGCACTGCTCTGGGCGTTGGGGCTGCCACATGAACACACAGATGAAAGTGTCTGCATTAATTGTTCAAATGATGGTTGTCTGTCTCCCCTGCTAGACTGTGAGCTCCATGGGGACGACAGTTTCTACCTGTTGTATACAGTAGGTGCCTAATAAATATTGTTGGAATGAATTCCAATCCCACGGCATCTTATTTGGACTTGGGTGTTCTCATCAGCTGAACGTTTGCAGACCATCTCTCGGGTTGGGTCCCTTCTGCAGGTGCCTATCTCGTCCATTGTGTTGGTTCCTACCAGTTTCTGCCTGGGGAGGATGCCGCCTGGCAGTGTAGACAGAATGCCATCCTACTTTCCTAAACACCAACCATGGGTGGCACAGTTTTGAATCATCCACTTTGTTGCGGTTCTCAGGGATTAAGGAACAGAGGAAGGGTCTCAGGAAGCCGTGCTGCCCCACGGGGGCTTGGCAGATGCTTGTGGGATAGGTGAGTAAGCAACCCAGATGTTTATTGGACTCCTGCTATATACACACAAAGCCTCAGCACGGTGCTTTTCAGCCAAGTTTCCATGTTTTACCCGAGTGAGTCTGGCCAGAAAGGGTCTGTGGGAGACAGTGGCACCTGCGTGAGAAGCTTGGGTCTGTCCAGGTCCGTGAGTGACAATCCTCCTGAGAACGCAGAAACTCGACCCGTTAGAGCAGGCTTTCATGTGGCAACAGGTCTAGTCAAACTGCGTTAGCCTGGGGCCCTCCTGGCCTGGGCGGAAGCCCGGTGGTGTGGCATCATAGCTGGCAGGCAGGCAGCGACGTCATCAGCAGAGGGAGCAAGCAGGATCTGAGTGGCTGGGATGGTTTCCTGATATCACAAAGCAGGGCCTTTGCCAATTTGGAGTGGCCTCGGGGTGCGGACCTGCCCTGTGAAAAGGCAGGGGCCTGCGAGTTCTAGCGTCTCTCTGCCCTCCCGCCTCGTTTGCAGAGTGGGGAGCGTGCGGGCCAGAGATGCGCCGTGACGTCGGTTCTTCCGTGTCCTCGTCCTCAGACCGGGGGTGCTTGTGCGTGTGTTGGTCATCTCCTCCCCACACCGCACTTTGGGTGCAGGCACTGAGACGCAGGCACACATTCCAGATTCCTCCAGAGAAACTCGATCTACAGGTGCTGGCTCGAGGCAGCGGGGTTGCCAAACCGCAGCTCTGCACTCCTTCTTTTGGAGGAAGGAAAAGGAGGGCAGGCGGGGAGCAGAGAACTCGATTGCAGCGGCTCGGCTCTAGAAGGCTCCCAGCTCCCCACATGTGAATGTCGTCAGCCCTGTCCCCATGTGTGACCCTGGCTGACAGGCCCGGTCCCCCCGCCAGGCCTCTGCCTGCTCTGTGCTTCTCTCTGCCCCACACCCCCCTTCCTCACCCACCTCCTGCCATGGGGATTTTGGAAAGGTGGCTGTTTTTCATCCGTTTGTGTTTTTTCATTTGTTGAGGTGAAATGCACAGAACATAACATTAACCTTTTTAAAAAGTACAGTTCAGCGGTGTCTAGAACATCCTTGGTGCTGTGCAGCCGCCCCCTCTGTCTAGTTCCAAAACATTTTCATTCCCCCAAAAGAGGCCCTGACCCAGAGCAGTCACTCCGCATTCCGCCTCCCCCGGCCCCTGGCAGCCCCTCGTCTACTTTCTGTCTCTATGGATTACCTGTTCCAGCCATTTCATACGAATGGGATTGTGTAATATGTGCCCTTTTATATCTGGCTTCTTTCACTCAGCATAAAATATTTGAGTATGTACAGTATCCACATTGTAGTATGTATCAGTCCTTTATTCCTTTTTATGGCTGAATAGTATTCCACTGTGTGTGTATTCCACGATCTGTTTGTCTATTCATCCATTGATGGACATGTGGGTTCACCTGTTTATGTTTTTGCAAAAGTAACAAAACTATAATGAGGAAATTGGAAAGAAAGGGACAATCCTAAGCTTGTCACTCTGAACACAGACATTTTCATTTTTCTAGGTTCCTTTTCATCTCTTGTCCTGCATCTGCCTGTGTAATTTTTTCTGAATTTTACTCTTAGGGCAGGTCCAGTTGCGTCCTTCATTTCAGTTGACATACAAACCTCTTTCCTGGCCTCTTGTTCAGGGACCCTTACAGCTAGCATCTTTGATGGCCGTGTCAGACTCCATCGATGCCCCCTTACCTTGTCTCCCACCGGATGAGCCGGCACCCTGGGACTCTGGCACCCAGACCTTCCACTTGCCTGGAAGTTCAGGATTCATTTATTCCCTGCCTTAGATGTGCTGAGGCTCTGTCTTGTGGAGTTGTTGGCCCAGGGGTTCAAGACTTTCCATGTTGACGGGATTGGAGGAGGACGGCCATCACCGTGGATGAGGAAGTTCCGGCAGGCTGTCATGGCTTTCAAAGTATGTTTAAGTCTCTTTTGCCCGACTGGCCCGTGGGGCCCGGGGATTTACCTCTCCTTTGGCTTCCTGTTGAGTTCCGTGAAATCCCACACGGGGAATGGCGATTAGGTTGCACTCAGAGACGCACTGCCCAGTTCCTTTTAGAATCCTTTCCAAGTTTGTTGGCTGCGGTCCGTTTGAGGTCCGGTTGACAAACTTCAGTCCAACTAGCTGTGCAGAAGCTCCCGGGCGCCTTCAGCCACCACGCTCAGTTCAAAGATCAGGAAGCCTGGGGGCAGGTTACATGGACATTTGATTTTCTTCTACCAAAATTGGGCAAGGGGCAAATGAGGTCCAAGATTTTGAGGGTGAGGAGAGGTGGCCGTGAACTGCATGAAAAGAGACTGCTCTGAGGCCATCCTGTTACAGAGAAATTCTTAACTCCTCACACATGACCGTCATTACAGCCGAACAACCTAGCTGTCCATCTACAAAGGGGAGTTCCAGAAACTCTGATAATGGAATATTATGCAGCTACGAACACATAAATGGACGTGGGAGCTAAAGCAAACCTGGGAGAGCGTGGGTAGTGAGATTCTTGGCTACAAGAGGACTGTTCCCGTATCTGCACTTGTGTATATGCCTCGGGGGCACTTTATGCTTTCTACATTTCTGGATTAAGATTTCTTAGGAGCGTGTATAACATTTGAAATATTCCAAATCCAGATAGAACAAGAAGTTTAAAAGCATTGTGGTTATAAATCCAAGCCTGGCAGTTCTCGTTTATTATGGATTTGAGATTCCAAAATGTTGAGCTCAAATTCCTTTAAACTGGTAGCATCCTAGTGACCTGGAGGACCTATCGGAATGCAGACTGCTGGGCCCGCCCCCAGAGTTTGGGATCCAGTGGATCACAAGTGGGGCCCAGGCATTTGCATCTGTAACTGGTGGTGCTGATCTGCTGGTCTGGGGACCCCAACTTTGAGAACCTCTCCTGTGAACCTCATTATAGGAGAACGTCCCTACAGCCTCTTCCGCCTGTAGAAATTTTATGAGACTTCTGTCCCTGCGCTTGGCCTAAAGGGTTTACGTTATCGAATTTGGAGTTTTTGAGGTTGAGCACCCACAGGCCGCTTGGCTGGAGCTGTGGCCTCCCACGGGGCTTCCTGCCCCGTGGAGGGATGCCCGCGGGTCTCCCTGCTCCAAGACACCCTCTTGACAGGGCTGGGCTCCTCGGGCCGCCCTGTGAGGTCTTAACCTGTGCCCGCCTTGGCATTCCCTGGCTAAGTGCTCTCCTGCACTTGCCGTTCAAGAGTCCATCCTTCTAGGTGTCCCCTGGTGTTAAAGGGAGGTGGCGTGGGCAGGGAGCAGCATGTACTAAGCACCTACTGTGCACCCGCTGCTGTGCTGAGCACTTTAGCTACACCATTGCACATTGCAATCGGGGATGCCGCCTCCCTCTTCCCCCTGCACCCCCAGGGGTTTGAGCGCCTCACCTGGGCGTGCAGGGGGAGAGGAGTGGACCAGCCCCTCGCATCTCTGTGAGTTGATTCCTCCCAAGGCCTTAGATCTCTGCCTGGTCTCCCTTCTGCTCATTCTCCCTGGAGGGACATGGGGTGACCCATGGGACCCCTCTCAGAGGTAACCTTTCCCACTCGGCACATCCCACCGGAGGAGGCCAGTGTACCACTACTCCCAG